ACATCTTCTAATGTTGACATGAACTCAGTATCAACCCACCCCATGCATCAAGGAAAGTATGGGAACTAGAACTCCAACAAGGAAGTAGTGATCCCAGGCTAGCAGCAACGCACATGATGGACAACACACAGACTGGAGAGCTCCAACATTAAACAAAATTGTACAGTATTCTTCCTTACCGAGGATGAGCTGGTTTGGCACTCTTGATTAACAAAAAAAAAGGGGGAAGTCACCCCTTTCTATAAGCAACCTCGGAACATATTCAAAGGGAAACAAAGCGGGAAAAAAGGCTAATTCAACATCGACCTTTGGCTCAAAATATAAAGGATCCTTGGGAGGGTCTAGCTTGACAGAGAAACTATCGATTGATTCTAAGACCAATCATGTCTTCCCTTAAGAAAGGGGCTCTCCATCACAATGACATAAGGGGAGGATATGGAACAATTCCATCGGAACAACTTATGATCTTTTTGGGCAAGATAGAATATCAGGAAAGAAGAAGAAAATGAAGAAGGATAGAACATAGCAACTAAGAATAAGATGTAGAAAAAGGTAAAGTGTCCCTGTGTATACAAAAGGAACAATTGGGGAAGTCCAAACGACTCCGAAATAAAGCAGCTAACTTGAAACCCGTCGTGATCTGATTATCACAGAACCCGCGACCTGAACTGATAAAGTATCACATCTAGGAAATTTAGTTAAAGCTAAAACTCTTTGTGTGCCTCCTACAATGTCATAGTCACATGCAAAGGGGGCAATTGTAAGAGGGGCCTCAGAGATGCGTCCACTAGGTAGCCACGAGACACCTATTAAAGCAGCTACAAGACGCCTATGAAGGAAGTTGCAAAGCATCCATGAGGCATCCATTATGTTGATATCAAAGCATCTATTATGGTCGCCACGAGGCCAAAAAGGGAGTGACCACGAGGGGTGGCCTTGCCCCCCACTATGAGCAATGCTCGCGCACAGGTGTATCTTCAATCCCCCGTCCGGAGACTCATCCCAAAACCTCAATGAAGTAGAGTGGAGATGAGTGCAGAAGCGAGAATTCTTGGTGCATCCCTGGGGTCTGAGGGCTTGAAAGTATGAGAAATGATGGAATACACAACCAGTGGGATGAGCACCAACAGTAACACTTCCTTGACTGTCTCATATATATGGAGGAGCCATTGCACGAATGCGAATCTGCAGCGAAGCTTGCAATCCATAGCTGCAATCGTGCGACAGTTATAGGACCATAGCCAACTTGCCTAAGTTTCTCAAGATGGAATGTAGAAATGGTATGTCGCGTACCATTATTCACTCTGTAATAAGAAACTCTTGCAAGATGGGAACGGGTTATCGCTCTAACAGAACAACGCACAATTATGTAGCGTTATGGTTCAGGCAACAGGAAAATGGGCCTGTTAAGGGAAGAAGGATTGAGGAAAAGGTTTGTTGGGCCAAGTGAGGTCACATATTGTCATCCACAACCTTGAAGGAAAAGGAAGGTTGTGACTCAACCAAGGGAACTGTTGCACCACAGTAATATTCCCTGCTAAAGTCATGTGTCAAGGGCTCTATAAGTACTCACACAAGCCATGACATAAAAGGCATGTAGAAGACACCAGAGCCCTAACTTATTCCATTTTCGGATATTCCTTCGCGTTCTCTCTCTCTCTCTCCGCGTTCCTTATCATTCTCCTAACTATTAATAATATTTTAAGGAACACAATGTTAGGCATTTAAAAAGAATCAAGAACAATGTATTCTTGTAGCTAAAATGAGAATGTCAATATTGATGATGGACGCTCATCTATTTATCCATGACTCGACCTGACATTGCTTATGCCATGAGCGTCGTGAGTCAATTCATGCACTCTCCTCGTACCCCTCACCTTGATGCAACTATTTGAATCCTTCACTACTTAAAAGGGTGTTCGGGCCGTGGTATTTTGTTTGCCAATCATGGTCACTTACGTGTTGAGGCTTGGACAGATGCTGATTATGCAGGGTTAATTTCAGATAGGAGGTCAACTTCGGGTTATTGTACCACTATTGGTGGTAACTTGGTTACTTGGCACAAAAAGAAGCAAGATGTTGTCCCTCGATCTAGTGCAGAGGCAGAGTATAGGACTATGGCTCTTGGGGTATGTGAGTTGTTATGGCTGAAAACCTTGATGATAGACTTGTGCCTTCTCGTGTCGCTTCCATTCTCACTCTACTGCGACAACAAGTCTACCATTAGCATAGTAGCAAATCCCGTTCAGCATGACAGGACTAAGCATATAGAGGTGGACCATCACTTCATTCGAGAGAAGATCATCTCTGGTCAAATTTTTACTCCATTTGTCACAAACTCTCAGCAGTTTGCAGAAATTTTTACAAAGGGCGACAGCAAGATTGTGTTTGAGAATGCATGGTCTAAGTTGGGCGTTTCAGATATCCACGCACCAACTTGAGGGGGGGTGTTAGCAAATATGATAGCCACGATTTATGGAATGACTTTCCATATTAGCAGAGATTTGATTATGCTATAGAATATGCCATAGAATATGCTTTAGAATATGTTGTGATTTGATTTAGATTTGATTTAGATTTGATTTAGTTTTCTTTCTTGTAATATGAGCATGCGCTCTTTTTATCTATAAATTCAGAGTTGTGAATGAGTGATTCATCTCATTCAAGCCTTTACACAATTCTCTCCTTTTTCTTCTTTTTATATTTCTACCATAAGTGACTAAACAAAATAAGACTAATAATCATTATGCGAGGGAGTGGCACCTATTAAAAAAATAAGATAAAAGCTTAGGTGGCATGGAATTTACAACATAGACCTATAGACACACCAATAAGAAAACAAAGATTTGTTTGTTTAAAAGATGAGAGATAGAGACTGAACAATATTCATGTGGAATAAAAGGAGGAACATGATGATATTGTTGATACTTTGAGAGAGATTCAATAAAGATTTATAAAAATCCTGCTTATGCCGAAATTTAGGGATTCCAGAAATCCACAAAAGAACTCCTGGTAGGGAGGGTCATGCTTCATGCAACATCCTCGGTATATGCTACTCACTCAGTTGCCTCTACATAAACTTCTACAATACCTATTTTCACTACTCACTCAATTGCCTCTATATCCATTAACTAAGTGGGATATATTTCATTATCACATCTCCGTATGTTGTATTAGTACTTCAGCTATGTCATATTATGTATTCTTTCAGCCTTACCTAAATCATCCATCGAGGAATATTATATGCTCAAGACAATATGGTACAACTTGCATATGTTTCTTACTCCATTACTCCTATAAAATCTCAAGAACAAAAGGAAGTCAAAAAGAAAGGTTACGTAGGATGGTCAATGAGTAACATTAAAATATGGCCTTTAATGAAGATAATTGATGAAGAAGACTCCGAATTGTGAACACCATGCAATTGGGTTTGTAGCCAACTAAGCTGATAGAAAGGTGTATATTGTTACATTCCAACATTCCCCTTCACACATGGCCTGTAGTGAACCCATTACTAACTTGAACAATGAACTATGGGGACACAACAGAACTTGAATAAAGGACCTTTCTGCGCAGATAGCACATGAGAAATGTATCCAAAACAGCTATACCTTAAATACAAGGCACCATATTCCAAATGGATTCACCCCCTCGAACCAACCACAATTAGGACCCTTAGACAACTTATGGGGAGAGGATTGTAGGACTATAAACCCCATTGTTCAGTTTGTACAATGTAATTTCAACACTGCTTGCATGGACAACAGCATCTCAGGCAACTGAAGGTTCCTTCTTTTGGTACTCCACAGGTGCTTAAACTATAGTAATCAAAAGGAGAAACTATGGTAAATGAGCAAGAGAAGGTGAATGGGAAAGTAAAGGAAGAAATGAAAAAAGATTAAAAATCAACTCATATCAGTGGCACTCTCAGCTGTAGTAAAATGTTAGCAACCAACTACTCTAATATAATAATTATCTTCTTCCCTGTTTAGTTTTCCATAGTTTTAATAAAAGTGTAACGATATTCTCCCTCCATCCCACAAAGGATGCCCACATTTCCATTTTTAGCTTTCCCAAAATAAATGTTCCAACTGAATAAGTCAATATACTTTTTTTGTAACATTACCAATTTAACCTTCTTACATTAAATTTATAAAAAAATAACCATCACATCATTGTGGACCCACTATGGCTAAATTGGTAATTCATTCACTACTAATACAATAAAAATAATAATTAAAAAAAAAAAAAAAAAAACACTAAAAGTCATCACCTTAAAAAGTTAGATTCCTGAAAAGGGACATTTTTTGTGGGACGGAGGGAGTATTTACTAAAATGTGAATGATAAGCCTGGATTTTAGTCAGTTATTTTATCTTTTTATATTTTGTTCTCTAAATTGATGGCAGTGCAAGAGGATTATGCATCTGAGGCAAAGCAATTTGCTTAAGCATCTATTCTGTTAGGAGTCTCGTTTAGTTTCTAGCAGTGCATAATGCTAATAGTGCTTCTGTAAACAGAAAAAAAATAAATATATATATATATATATATATATAATTGGGGCATCTTTTGGAGTTTGTGGATAGCTTGAAATTATAGAGGCGCCTAGAGCGACTTTTGTTGTTTCCGGGAGCGCTCCCCTTTTGAGCGTCTTTAATGAAATGTTACTCATCAATATATATATATATATATATATATATATATATATATATATATATAATTTTATATATACATATATAATCATGTTACTGCATAGTTCCTAATCAAGCTTGCATTTTTCAGCTGATAGTTCTTCATTTCACAACAGTTTCCAGACCTTTTTTTTTTTATAAGCACAACAGTTTCCAGACCTAATGACTGCATATGATAAGAAACTCAATCAACTTGACTGAGTAAGCAAATATTGCTGCATTGCATGTATATTTAAAAATTTCATGGAGACTCCATACCTTGTTAGGGTACGTTACAGTTTAGACTGCAAAAAGAATATTCATGGACTTACCCATTAATCATGAGCACCACTCTACTCCCTCGTGTAATGGGAACATAGTTAGTTTCCTGAAAAAATAAGGAATGAAAGTCAAAAATAAACCTAACAATTGAGGAAACAAATGATGTTCTCATGAAAAAATTAATCAACACATACAGTATAGGATAAATAGTTACTTCAAAAGCATCCATCTAACAGCAGTTGAGAATAAATGATTTCCTATGATGGGAGTTCCAGGTCATTAAGATTAAATAAGACATCAAAAATATACTTAAGAAGGCGATATTTTGAACATTATGACATTGACTTCACAGAAAAATACAACACTTAGGGATGGAGCCTCTCTCAAACTTTATCTCTCTAGACGATTTCTCTAGGGTTCCAGTTACATAGCTCGGCAGTGGCCCAATCCTTCCTTCTTTTCTACTTTCCACATCTTCTGGTCTTTTAACCCCATTTCTTCAGCTCCCCCACATCAATTCCTTTTGGCTTTGTACCATCCCTTGATTCTTCTCATTCCATTGCTACTCTAACTTATTTCTCACTTGCTCCAGTCTCTATACTTTTAGAATGTTACTTTGGACTATTCATAGTGGCATCTGCAACCAGAATGAATGCTACAGTTTCCATTGCTGAAACACATTGGTATTGGAAATGCAAATGAAAAGGAATGTTGAAACCTATTGGGGAGACAGACCAGAAAACTGATGAAGGTGATGCCGGAAGTGGAAGTACAGAAGGGGTCCCTGAATCTCTAGATAATATCCTAGAAATTATCCAAGAAGGTCAAGGGTAAACCAAAGATATGACGGAGTCTCTCAAGAAGAACGAAATTTTGAAGCAAAGGTTTACTGGAAGTCTAGAGGGATGAGAAACATCTCACTGAGAGGTGGTCATGGTGGTTTTTGTGGGCTTGAAGGCACAGGCGTAGTGGAGGCAGAAGCAGTTGGAGATAGAACGCTCCATCTAGATCAAGATCCAGATCTCAGTTTGGCAACCCTATTTCTCATGGAAGAAATGGTGTTGATTTCTCATGGATATGCACATGCCGCTGCTGTGCATGGAACAGGATGAAGTTCAAATTTTGAAAAGATTGCCAAAACTGAACTCTAATACAACTGGTGGGGGGAAAAATAAAACGGCAGATGAAAATGGATACTTGTGTGAACCCAAACTTGACTGCAGACCTGAACCAAAGAGAGAGTTGGACAATATTTTAAAACCTAACAGTAGCAGTGGTAACAAAAGAATTGCTTTGCTATATTTCAAACCTCAGAAACAGGGGAACCATATGTTCTTGCTTTGTTGCAAATGAAGGTGAAATCGAATGGACCAATTGCCTTGTTGGCTATTTAATAAACAAGTTACCTTTTCTTACAGTGAGATCAATTGCTCTGAAAATTTGGGGCCAAGAAGACCGAACGCCTATGCTCACTAATACAAGAAAAGTATATCAAACTAAGAAGTATAAACTCTACTAGTGAACCGCCAAGATAAATCCACGAGCCATCCAATATCTTAAGTACTTGAAACATGTGGAGGAAAAATAGGGTGGGCTTAGAAAGCCCAATAAGCAAAATTCTAACTAATTGACAATAATCAATATATATCTAGCCGTCACTATAATTAAGTCATTTATGTTGAAATTATTGTTTATATTATTATCATAGTTATTAAAGACACAAAGCACACCAAGGCGCTAGAGGTCCTTTGGAGGCTAGGCGCGAGGCGAGGCGCTCGCCTGAGTAAAGTGAGACGCATAATTGAAAATTTAAACTACCATAATAACATTCATATCTCATAAGTCATATCAATATTCTAAAAATTAATATCAAATATAAAAAAGTAAATCCATCAACTATACAAGCATCCAACAACCATAAAACAGAGTACAAATTTGTTTTCTTGAAAGGCAAAGCAAAATTTTTTGAATGGCAAAACAAAGCACAAAAAGAAATAAATATGTTTAAAAAAAAAAAGGAAGAAGAAGAAGAAGAACTAACGTGGCTTCGTCGTTCATCTCTGCAACTAGGGCTTCGTCTTCGTCTCACAATCTCATTTTATCGTTGTTCGGTTAACACTTTGACTCTTGGGCTTTCTTATTTTTTTATTGTTTTGAACAAAAGTTCCTTATCGTATGATTGAGCTTTCTTTTTTGTTTATTAGGCTGCCAAAAGTACCCTTTTTGGCTTAAGAAATAGAACAATCGTATTTTTTTAAACAAATATCAGTGAGGCGCACCTAGGCGCACCTCACAAACAGGACGAGGCGCAACTGAGGCGCGAGCCTAGTAAACATCAGTGAGCCTGGGATGACAATAGGCGCTAAACCTCGAGCCTAGGCGCGCCTTTAACAACACTGATAATTATTAAGTCACTACAACTCATGTCATATTTGACGGGAAAAAAGAAACTCATTATGCCATGACCCAACACAATATAAACAATATTGTCCACTTTGAGTTCCCCTCATTGTCTTAAAATGCATTGTTAACATACGGTGTGCAATCTCCTCCTTTTATTCTCAGCAACGTTTGCTTTCCCAAGCGATGTGGAATCCCAACCACAAGCGTCCACCATGCACCAACACACAAGTCCTCAAAGTGCTTGCCCACCTAAACAACTCAAGTCTGCACACTTTCGGTTGGGTATTGACTCTGATACCATCTTTCACCAGCCAAACACTTGCCATCCAACCCAAAAGCTAAAGATGGCCCCGAGCCTACCTCAACCTTAGTATCCCGAATAAGGGGCCCACAAAAAGTTTGAACTCGCGCTAATGGCACCGATGCTCTAATACCAATGTAATAACACTTAAATTTTAAATTTAATTTAATCATAACTGGAGATTATTCTTGTTCGTTGGCATCAAGTGTGCAGGCCGATTCCAATGGGAGGTCTGGGCATTAGGAGGTTGGCACCTTTCAACAGGGCTCTTCTGGGTAAGTGGTTGTGGAAATTCGAAAGTGACCGCTATCGTCTTTGGAGGAAGGTTGTTGCGTGTTGTTACGGGGAGGAGAGGTGGGTGGTCCTCCAATCGATCAGATTTGCTGGAGGCATGAGTGTTTGGAAATTCATTCGAAATGGATGGGATGAATTTTCTAAACATGTCAAATTCAAAGCACGTGATGGAAGGGGTGTTAGGTTCTAGGAGGATTTATGGTGTGGCGATCACCTGCTGGCTCGTTCTTTTCCCAGACTTTTCCAGATTGTCGTGGATAGACATGCTTTGGTGGCCAACTGTTATCGGCTTTATAAGGGTACGCTCACGTGGAATGTGCGTTTTCAGCGTTCTTTTCAGGATTGGGAGTTGGATGAGGTTTCTGGTTTGTTAGAGCTACTATACGGACAGGATGTGGATGGTAGTGACACTGACTCACTGGTTTGGGTGCCTTCCTCTGAGGGGAGATTCGAGGTTCGTTCCCTGTACCGTAGTCTCTCTGATTTTCACGTTCTAATTTCCCTTGGAAGACGGTTTGGTGCTCCAAGGCTCCCCTCAGGTGGCCTTCTTTGTCTGGACTGCTATTTGGGGCAAGATTTTTACCCTGGATTATTTGAGAAAGGGAAGACATATTACAATCAATTGGTGTTGTTTGTGCAAGAGAAATGGCAAGTCCGTGGATCACCTTCTTTTGCATTGCCCTGTAGCCCATGACTACTGGAACCTTATTTTTGGTCTTTTCGAAATCTAATGAGTTATGTCTCGGTCCTCGAGGGGTTTGATTGATGCTTGGTGAGGTTACAATGTGGGGGGCCATGCCCGTGAGTATTGGAGGGCGGTTCCCCTTTGTGTTTGGTGGTGCTTATGGAAGGAGCGGAATAGAAGATCTTTTGATGGGGAGGAATCTTCCTTATGGGCTTTGACGTTTATATTATTAGCTCTCTTTTTAGTTGGATTTTGGGGAGAAATTGTATATCTATAGATGAATTTATTGATAACTTGGGTTCAGTGGGTCCTTAGGACCTTGTCTCTGGCTTCGGCCTCTGTATAGCTTTCGAGATGCATTCCCCTTTTCAACGCTTTCTAATACAATCTTACTTATCAAAAAATAAAAAGAAATTATTGTGTAAATTTGACTAAATTTTAATACATTAAAATAATAAAAATAACAAGCCCACAAAAACTATGGGTTGCTCTAAGTCTTCACAGCCAACTCTCTATAACCACCAATTATTTGAAATATTAGGAAAGAGTTGAGGCTCAAAAGGATGGAGTGGTAATTATTTTTAATGTTGTTGTGCATGGTGTGAGGCGTCGGAGTCTACTCAGTTGACCTTTTCTCTTTTCTGGTTATGGGTTCATAATCCTATTTGGAGATTGCTAGGCTACCTTGCCTTCCATGAGGGAGGATGGTTAAGGTCGCAAATCCTTACAGAGGACCCTCGATTTGGGTGGACGACACCTCTGTAGGAAGACGCGGAGAGGTGCTTGGGTTGTGTTTGGTGGGCAAATTTGACAAAGAAGTGGGAAACCGAGACCAGAATGCTGATTAGGCTGGCTGTGCTAGGAAAATTTCATGTGGGGTCGGTATTTCACCATTACCAGATTCACTACTCCTCTTTCGACTTCCCTCACAACCTGAAGCCAGGAGAGTTGTTCAGGAAGGTCGTCGGGATTGGGGCAAGGCAACATTGCGTGTGGATACATGGTGCTTTCAGGTGGGCTGCTCTGAGGTGCTGAAAGAGTAGGGTTTGAAAAGGGTTTTGTTGTATGGCCTTCCTCTGCACCTTTGGTGTCACCCTTTATTTGTTAATGTTGGGGATTTGTGTCGTGGTTTTGTGTGGATGGAAGTGGATGAGTCACGAGATGCTGAGATCATTCGTATCTGGGTGCGAGATGGAAGCGATTGTCCGACAGCGATCTTCGTCCACGATGAACGGCTATGCTACAAAGTGGTGATTTGGGAGGAAAACCACCTGAATGAACTCATGCCAACAAAGAAGAGTTTGGAGTGTGGAGATGGTTCCCTTCTATTGAAGAAGGAAGATTGGTTAATGATAATGTCGAAGGGCCAAGAAGGAGTTCAGGAATTTCAACAGTGGAAAGATGGCTGGAAGTTGCAGAGGGA